CACCATATTGAATTAAGACTCCATTGTAGGCTGAGTTTATGAAACTTGGACCTACCCCACAAATGCAGCTCCATAACGAAGGCCATCAAAGGCGCACCAATGCCCGCTGGCGAAGAACATGCATATAGAAAGAAGACTCCATTGCACCACACAGAGAGGATTTAGTTTTGAGAATTTGCTCTGTCCATCTGATTTGGTTCTTCTCTCTACACCCTCCAGCCTCATTATACAATAGCCTACATATATTTAACTGCATGAGTTAAACCTTAATGACCTGAATTGCCATCTTTGTCATAAAGCTTGTTTGCTTTGAGAATCATCAAGTGAGAAGAAAAAAGTTACCAGCCACTAAATATACTAATGCAAGCATTGATCCTTGCTTCCCCGACAATAGAATTACTGGCGAACTACAAGCAGATACAAGAGCGACAGTTCTGATGGCCCAATTCTTGTCTTTTTCGGTGCAAAACATACGTGCAGAAGCTAAAAGGCAAAGCTGCACCAATCCAATTACATAAACCGTTTGAGGAATGCGGTTTCTTCCTCCCGTCACTTGAAGCAAATGATCCAAACCAAATATCTTGCTCTCCGAAGCCCAAAGCAATGCTATGAAAAAGTAGCTTACCATACTACTAACAGTAACATACTTCCACACCCCCTCATTGGGTGCTTTCGCAATGGCTACGTAGAGCACGCAAATGAGTATAAGCACTGACAGAATTGGTGCAATTTCAATCGCATATGTCAATGCTGGATGGTCTGGAGCTATCCCTAGCATCCACGATGGTGAGCTACTCATAAACTGAGAAGTTGCAGCTTGCTTTGTTAGCCCAATATCTATAGAAACTCTGAGAACAAAAACCATAGCAAGAAACATAAAAGCCTGCAGACAAGATAATTAAAAATATTACAATCCAATAAGCAACTTTTAAGGTAATAACCAGAAGCAACAAAGACATGTAATAGATAATACTGACTTCTTTCCGCATTGTTTTTCTCATAACAGAGTACCGCAGCTTGATAAGTCCAGTTGTTGCCAGGAGAAAGTTTGCAACTTTTCCTTCTTCCACTATTGACAAAAAAATTCTCTATTAGCATAAAGAAAAAGAGAGCAAAACGCTTAATCTATATTTACTTGAAACTTACAGATATAGCTATTTGAAAGAAAGCTGCAAGCTCGAATCGTTACTATAAAGAGAGTGAAAGCTGCACCAGTGGATAACCAAGAACCCACTGCATAAGAATTGTCGCCATGGAAAACAGCAAGAAACTGAAGGATGAGTGATATAACCAATATCCCAAACCCAGTAATCATTAGATTCAGATTGAACTCTGTCCACTTAGACCGGGCAAGTTCAACAACGCTTGAGAAGAAATTCAAATATTCAGCAATTTGCTCTTTAAGAAGGGCAGATATATCTGTACTGCCGTCATCTCCATTTCTATCCATCAATATGTGTTTGACAGAATTGGACCAATTCTGTTCTGCTGCAGAATAGAGATCTGATATCCTTGACATATCATCGGAAGAGAAACCAACAACCGATGAATTAGAATACACATCTATATATCTTTTCACCTGCATATAAATAGAATTGGAAACTGAGAGCCCGAAAACAGAACATCGTGACAAGATATAGTTTCAAGTTTTTGAACTGTTACCTGCCAAGCATTCACACAAAGTACATCAACGTAATGTTTCATCCACTCGTTAGCAGCCGATTGGGTGCCAGAATTGCCCAAATCTGACTTATCCAAATTCCAGCTACTGGAACCAAGGGCATATAACTCAGGGTTGACATGCCCAATGCTGAAATTTGATATACATAGAAATATTTCGAATATTAATATGTGCGGATGGATATTTTCCTGAATAGAAGCAGGAAACAAAATTTGACAATGATCCTTACAAGGCACCTTCCGAAAGGAAAGGATATCCCAAGCAAAGCTGACAATGTTGCTGCAAAATCAAGCTGCAAATAACCCAAAACAATTAAGTTTTGCAATGAGGTTTGCATAGAGTACATGGAAAGACATCACATCAAATTTGATACTGACCTGCTCAATGTAGCTGATACACATCTGATTCCCGTCCTGACATTAAGATGAACCCAATAGAATTCCAGTAATAAGAAATCTCAAAAACAATTCTTATGATCACCAAGGAATATGTTTCGCAGGTTACAATTACCTTGTTTTGTTTACAAGATGAGGTATCGAACTCAGGAGGAACCAAAGTTGTATGCTTCTTTGTACTCATGGCAAACATGGTTGTTTCTACCTGTAAAGGGATTTAGAAGTAAAGGTGGATTAATAATCTTGAAGCAGAGTGAGTCAAAGAAAAAAGCCGATATCTTACCTCTTCTGCAGTCCCTCCGCCATGATCCCCATTTAATGTCTGCCCATGGTCACCCATTACTATAAGCATAGTATTCTCATGCAAACCACCTGGTCCCGCCTGGCTCTCCAATATATTGATGACTTTCTAGAGGAGGCAAATAGAGTAATGAAACAAGATTACATATAGCATACAAATAACTTTTTGCAACTGAAGGATAAGAACTACACAAGTGAAATAATATGGTTAATTTTTGTTGCAGCCTTTATCAGGTGATTAAAAGGTAGTTAACCTCTAAAACTGAATTATATTGCTCCAACTTATTAATCATTGGGCTGGAATCCACTCCAAATATGTGTCCTGCATGGTCCTGCAAATATTCAAAATTCAGTGAATCAAGGAGATGAGTGGCAAGATGATGACGAAAAAAAAGATGTAATTGTCCGCATACCACGCCGAGAAAATGCGCAATTAGAACATCCCAATCATCTTTGAAAAGGGTTGGGAATAGGTGCTCAATGCATCCATTGTCAACCTACAAACGCACAACAACCCGTATCATATATAAAAGTCTACACAAACAAGCTACCTCAGAAACAAACATAATGTAGAAAAGCAAAACATGAATCACTTACAGTATCCAGGTCTTTAACATTGAAAGAGGGGAAAGGATATGACTTTTGAAATTGATTTGGGAACAACTGTGTCCAAGTATCATCACCCATCATCACCAACCGTTTCCCATTTAGCACTAACTATGCATAGAGAGAACTCATTCAAGTCATTACCGTGTGACCAATTCAAAATGACATTAGAAAACAAACAGTTTGTTTTAGATAAGCCTAAAACCTGATTAATGAAGTTATCCTCAACAATAGCAGGAGCACCGAAACTATTCCCAACATCAATAAAAGTAGGCAATCCTCCAGTTGTTAATCCCTGAAATTCACACACTAGAATATGAAAAAGAGTTGAAAGCAATCAAATGTAGACACCAATCTAGAAACTGATTAGAATTGGGACCTTGAGACGCTGTAAACTAGTTGTAGGAGGATCAGCAAAAGCCTTAAAGATCTTAGCAGATGATTCATTAGCAAATGCAAGCTTCTGCAAGATTGTTAATTTATCCATCCATGGCTTTGGTTCTGTCAATTAAAGAATTACAAATCAGTAACAAAGCAATACACTTACACACAAAGATCATTCTAACGCACCTGGGAAAAAAGCACTCGGGGCAACAAAATCGATTCTGGAAAACAAAAGAACAGTCAAAAATCACGAAATGCTTATGAAGTTGTGAAATGAACAAAACCAATCAGTTTTTGAAACCTGAGTGCATCTAAGACAATTATGATGACACGATCGACGACTGGTTTGGTCCAACATTTCGGCTGAGTCTGATTAGATTGACCCGAGCTTGAATCGTGATTGGAGCGTGGAGAAGCAAGGCAAGGAGAGAGAGAAACGTCGGAGCAAGTACTGTGGAAAGGAAGCTCTGTTCGCGTGAGAAGAAACCCACGCGTGAAGATCAAAATGGCGATGGCGTGAATCAAGAGAAATCCTAAAGCTGTCAACTTCTTGTTCTTCAGATATGTCTCCATCTCCGGATCAAAATTCTCCGGTCGTATTTCCGATAAGTAGATTTCGCCGTGACGGGCTACTGACCGCGGCAAAATAAACTATTGAAGGTGATGAAGACGTGAATGGAAAACGACGTCGTATAACTTATCATTGTAAGTGTAATCGAGATTTTGCTGCTTTGCGTTTTGTTTAGCAATGGCGCGTTATATTTTCAGACATTTAGGTAATCGATTCGTTTTACAGGTTATAACCGGTATGGAGGGTGCATAATAAAAATTTAGTTTAGCTACTCCGGTTATTGAAGTCAATTATTCTGGCGAATTTTTAGTACAAAATAAGCTTCAGTCCTTTGATATTTGATTAACTGAGTAGGTTATACGATTCCGATTTAGCTAGTATTCAACAGTATAAGTTAATCAAATTACAGTCGTCTCTTATGATATGAAGAATGATTTCGTCATCCGATTACTGTCATCTCTTATGATATGAACAGAGGTTTCGTCTTATCAATACAGCTTGTCGATATGTGTTTCAATTCATCAAATCCAAATCAGTCCAAACTTAAATCCATTTGTCTCAGTTTAGTATCATCATATACCTAATAAACCCAAAACAAAAAAAAATCTAAAACCTCAAATTATTCTAGAAAAATAATCGAAGCTATTATTAAAAAAGGTTTAGGAGAAGGATCAGAACATTGGCTTGATTTCCTCTGTTGAGAAGGAAATAAAAATCGCTTAGTATAATCTGATTCGATCATTTGGGGAAATTGTCATCACCTCCATTCTCCTTAATACCAATCTTATAGTTTAATCATAAAAAAGACCCAACAAATTAAAAACGAATCACAATTGAATCTAGTGAACCTATCTAAAGGCAAACTCATCAAAAAAACATAAAAGAGACAAGGATCAGAATATTGGCTTGATTTCCTCTGTTGAGAAGGAAATAAAATTCGCTTAGTATAATCTGATTCGATCATTTGGGGAAATTGTCATCACCTCCATATCTCTTTTCAAAAAAACCACGAAAGTTTTAAAATCAACAAACAAACCCAAATCAATCGTAATAATCTAAGGAGAAGGATCAGACTAATTGGCTTGACTTCCTCCGAAGAGGAAATTCTATTCGCTCAGTATAATCAGATTCGATCATCTGGGGAAATTGTCATCACCTCCATTCTCCATTATTAACCAATCCAAATCTCGATTTCTAAGAACAAAAAAAACGAGTTCAATGTTGTGTATGAACTAAAACCTAAAACAATTCTATAAAACACTAATACAAAATCAGATTTACCCTAATCTGCAAATTCGAGCTGATTGAAGAAAACCCCAGAGGGTTTTCCGAAGAAAATCAAAACGAATAACAGATATAGGGAAACGATTTGGCGTCAGCTCATACACAACGAACATAAACAAGTACGGTGGTAATCAGTAATATTGACGCACAATTTCTAATGAGAACATAACCTAGGAAACCATATGAAGAACAGAAGGATAAGAAATCTAGCGGAAGACAAGTCGACGGCTTGTTATTTGGTGTTTTGGAAATTTAGTCAAAAGAGTATTTATAGGTACGGTGGTGAGGCTTATGTCGGTCTAGAAACCCTAATACGCGTGTTATTCACGTGACTTGTGGTATTAGGAATTTCTATTGGGTCCTCCTTTATATTTTGGTGGGCTTTGTTAACTTCCAAAGAAGTTTTAATATTTGATCAATTTGTTTCTGTTTGCACAAAACAATAAAAAAACATATCAATTTGTTTTAATGTTTTTGGAATTCACATTTTTGAAAAGCAAAAAAAAATAGGAGCAAACTTTCCACACCAAAAAAAAAATGAAAATAATCACAAATATCAATTTTATTTGATAGTTTACTTTGTTTACTAATTCATATGTTCTGACAAATAAGTATTACTATTGAGCTTATTTATCATGCAAAAGATTTGAGATTAAGAAATAGATTGAGCATGGTAATCAAATTTCTCTCCCCATAGTCACAATGAAATCAATCTATATAGTATACAGTATATGTATTTCCTCTCTTCTTTCAAAAGGAGTACAGTATAACGATAATAAATAATGAAATAAATAAATCAGAAAATAATAGTGAGACATTTGTAATAACGTTTTGCAACTAAACTAATCTGTTTCAGTTTCATCTTCGCAACATTTTCAGCCTTCTGGAACCAAGAATCATCACTGTCTTCTTCCATTAACATTGTTCTCTCTTCATTTCCATGAACTGGATTTATGTGAATTTTCAATATCTGCGACGGTACCACTTGATAGTATAAAATCTCCGTCGTCTGCCGTGTACTAATGAGCATTTTATGGTTTACTATAATCTCTTCTCCAATCATTTCGAATCCTGCCGAGTTTGGGGTTACGTTTGAGTTGTCGTTGTCTTGTGCTTGGTTCTCAAACGAGAAAAAATCGTCGATCTCTATGTTGTCTATTGTATTGGTCCGAGATCCGCCTGTAATAAATATACAATTATTTCCGATTAGATCATTATAATCAACATTTTATATGGTTCCAAACTTCCAATTATAATGAGTTTTATATCATACCCACCATAAAATTCAAGATCTTGATCATTACTCTGGAAACTTGGCAAAATCAATTCTTGTTCTTCTATATAACTCTGTTAACATCATATAGATTATAGAGACAATTAATATTTGGTCTTCGAGCATATATAAAATATAAATGACGAAATCAAATTGGTAACTATGAAATAAAATTACCTGCTCGTCAAGATTTCCAATGTGTATCAAATGATCATCAACGTTGCTGTTGTAGAATTGGTTGGAGTTACTTGCAGCGAAAGTAAAGTCGTCGAACCCACTTTGACCACTGTTTTGATGTAGTCTCTTGGAGAAATCGCTGGTTTGAGCCTGCGATTTTTCTACTCGCAATGGTGGCAATGACATTTGGTGTTGAAACATCTCACATTGCACTTCTGTATTCACCTATATAATAATACAACATTTTAAGATACATGTATATTTGATTCTGTATATGATACGGAATCAACTGTATTAATTAACAAATTACCTTTGATTGAGTGAGGTATGGTCCATAAGGAGATCCGTAATCTGAAAAGCTTGTAGGCATGTTTTGTGACAAGTACTGCGACCAGTCATCATGATCACTAATTGCGTTTGCGTTTCCAAATCGCGGTTGGATATGGGCAGCGGTATTATAAGGTGTGTTTGAACTTATTTCAAGATCTGAACAAACGTCAAAACTCGAGCTACCACTTATATTCGAGCTCGTGTGGACGTAAGGTTGATGCTGCTGCTGATGTTGATCCCTTGGTTTCGCCTCAATCACTATTTTCTTAAACACGCGACAGAGTGCATATGCGTCCTGAAAATAGAACAAGAATCTTGTTAGAATATAGTTTTCCCTAGTAATACATCTAATACTTTAAAGTAGATGATTGATGATTGGTTTGGTTAGTGAGTAAACCTGCATGCCAAATGCAGAAGGCTCGCATTCGGATTCATCGAGGCGATATTCATGCATGACCCAACCAGTTCTAATACCATGCGGGGCACGTCCACGGTAGTAAACTAATGTTTTCTTGGTCCCAATGGCTCGATCTCTCCAACTCACCCGCCGGTCTTTGCCTGTGGCTTTCCAATAACCGCCTTTTGTTGCCCGGTTTGTCCTTGAACCATTGGGGTACTTTCTGTCCCGTGGGCTGAAGAAGAACCATTCTTGGTCTTTGCTAGGAATCAGTGACTTCCCTGCCAATTGACATGGTTGAGTATATTAGTAAACAATAACATTTGAATACAAAATATCGATTCAAATTGAGTTTCTCTATATATGGTTTTTATTTGTTTTATTCTGTCCCCTGTAAAATATGTTATCTCTCAAGATAAAACCCTAAAGTACAAAGTGTAGACTATCATAAAAGTGTGGTGGTCCATGAGAGGTTAACGAAAAGTATTTGAGGATTTGACCAGAGGGAATCCTACAATTGCGTATGCTCTAATCAATACTACTATAGTATTATGGCTATATTGTTATATAATATATTCAGAAAAATCATATACTTCCAATCCAAGTTGAATTGACAAAAACTAATCCAAACGTTGAATTGATTCATTTTAATTGTTAAAATTTTGATTTCTTGATATATACGAAAAAGTCAAAGCTAGTACCAAAAAAAAAACACATGGTATCACAAAACTCTTTGTTATTTAAAGGGATTTCTAAATATTAGTTAAAATCCTCATGATTAGTGAATTCTAGAAATATTTCAAAATTTTGCTTCGATTTTCAAATCAATCAAAATATGCAAACCAATATAAATGTATACATATAATTTTGGTAAAAGTGTTCTATATTATAGTTGTCCTGTTATTGTGATATATATTCTTTTTCTTTTCTTCACTCTATCTTTCGAACCTATACGTTCAAAACCTATTCAGTGCTTAGACCATAAAAGGGTCTCATTCCAAATATATACTGATAGATTGATTTATGGTTAACTAAATAATTCTTACCTGGCAAGTCCCATGGTTCGCACTTGTAGAGGTCTACTTCAGGGATAATCTCTAGCTCGATCTCTTGGCCGTTGATCTTTCTCTTGAGATAGTAAGTGATTAGTTCTTCGTCCGTTGGATGGAACCTAAAACCTGGAGGCAACGAGACCGGAGCCATGTATATACTCTTCAACAATATTGAAACCTCTCTATCAATTTAATATCGGATTATATAACAAAAAACTGAACGAACGGTCTTGTTTACGAGATAAACTCCAACAAGACCGATCGTTTTTGTTTATATAAATAGTTTTATAAGTATGGTAGAGAGAAGGAGAATGATGATACGAAAACCTCGAGAGAAAGAAGGAAACAGAGAGAAGACAAATGTTTTGTGTTTTCAGGGCTTGAAGGGTATAGGGTTATAAATGAAGAAGAGAAAGACAGAATTTCATATAAAAATAGTGGCAGGAAAGTGAAAGGGATGATGCCACCCTCAAATAATATATGGAACTTATAATATAAAAGTTATAAAAAGTAGGGCTATACCCAATTTGTCTCTCGTAATTTTGTTTTTTCCTTACACATATTCTGATTCTTACTGTCGTTTTATTCAAGATTCATAGGTAGGTTAATACAAAACCGTGTTTCTTCATCAAAGTGGTCGCCTCAAATAATCACATTCTTCTCCAAGTATGGTCGATTTGGAATGTATCCACGTGGCGGAACATCATTGGCTTCATGGGGGAACGAATCTTGGTTTAACCAATAGAAACTGGTTTCAAATCTTTGTCTGGCGGCGCTTCTAACTGAATAAAATTGTCTCCTTTGTATCGTATCCCCACTTGCGAGAATCCTTTAGTTCCTTCGTGATTGCCGCTGATCAATATGCCATCATCTCAATTATTTCTTATATCTAATCTCTTTTCTGAAATAAAAATATTATACTTCATTTTGTATCATCTTCATTGTGTCGTCACAAGTGGCTCGAGTATGATCGTTTGATTGGTCATTAGTGTTAGTTTGTTCATATTTCCCCATATAGTTCTGATCTTATGTTCATAAGTTATGTCTCGGGAGTATGTTTTAATACCGCCCAAAACTATATTATAACCTTTTTCAGTGTAAAAATATGAATCACTTAAACGAGGAGTCGAGGATGAGAGACAAGCTCGCTCGTTCACGAGCATGTGGCTCTAGATGGATATGAAACACATGATATAGTGACGCAAACACAAACACAAACACAAGCACAAACGCACACATTAATTAGATTCATATGCAAGTTCATACATAGATAAATTAAAGGCATAGATATATAAAACCAAAATTTGTTTAAAGGTATAGAGATGAAGAATAAAGGTCCACATGGTAGATCATGTGGGTCCAGCTTGTAAGCATGTGAAGAAATCCTTGGAGGCATAGATGGGCCAACCCCAGCATCACTTCTCAGCTTTTCTCATCATCATCTTACACTTTTCTGTCATTATGCAAATTCCATATTCTAGATCTATATCTAATTAATCACACATATAATAGCATTAGCATATATAACACATGTATATAACAAATTGTACATACCCTTCTTTACACTTTTCCCTCACATGAATCCATCTTTTTGTTCTTTACTTTTATTTATTTCTCTTTCACACACATCTATAAGTTAATGTACTCCA